GCGCAAATCGCGCAAATCGCGCAAATCGCGAAAATCGCGCAAAGCGATCGCGGACTCTGACACCAGCCTAAGCGTTTTCGCTGCGTGCGTGCCAAAAACGCGATTATGCCGCAAACTCTGACATATCTCTCACCGACCCGATCACCACATTAGCACCACTTTACAATTTTAGGATAGAGATGATTATCGCAAAAGCTGTGGAGAGCGTCTGGAGTCTCACAACACTGTGAGAAGTTGCTTGGTGAAACGGGAAAAGGAAATAACAATGAACATTGTAGGTTGCGATATACACTATATAAGAAAGCAAGAGCAAATGGGAAATGGATGACGCTTAATGAGAAAAAGGAGCCCGCAAACCTCACTCATATCCTCAATTTCATCTTTTGCTTCATTCTGCTGCCGTCTGTGCTCGAGTAGCAAGAACACTTCTGATGTTAGAAGAGCATCACAGTTTTGCGATTCAAACTCTGAAATTATGAACGAATTCTTCACGAATAGAAAATCACCCAGATGTCATCTGCACCCCTTTCTGACACTGCTTTGTACGATTTAATTACCACATAAACACAATCATCCAGGATAGTGAGTTATCTTTCCTCTAAATTAAGGAGTAAACAGCACCAAAATATTACTCAGTATTGACGAGTAACAGAGAAGCTGCTATTTCGTAGGAATATGCATCACAGAACTAAGTTGCGTTCGTACTTATCGTTATTATTACTTATCTTGAACCAGTGATTAGCTATCCTCTACGGCTCATTGTCTGCACTTAAAACTCTATTAAAAATGACAATTGACTGATACTCAAGCATATGATTGAGTTTCTTAGCTTATGATGTTCAGCATTAGGTGCTTCTAGACATTCTGTTCCTACAAGTGCAATTTTGAACATTCCGAACCTATGAAAAATGTTATTTTACACAAAATAGTATGTTTACGAACCTTTAGGAAACCGCATCTCAGTTGCATCCTCATCGACGGTATCCTCAGCAGTCTTCATCGCTGACGACATTACGTCCAAAAACGACAGAATAAATATTAACCACGCCCACACTAATTCATCGTTTTTCAAGACAGAGACGAGATAGAACACAGAAATAGACAGAATTTCAGGAGGACATGTTGTGCTACAGTTGCTGCCGCCTACGAAATTTCCAATTTCTGAAAGGTAAGGAATCCCTCTGGTGGCGACTTTCGCTTCCGCTTCTACAGAACCCTGAAGCCTTTCTTATGCGGAAATCTGGACTATCCTATTCAATATGAACTGTCACATCACCTGCCAACAACCCTCCCACCCCACGCCACCCCCTCCCTTACTAGATAAGACTTAATGGAAAGAAGAATAACTGCCCCTCTACTGAACGAAGTTGCGAAACAACGCCAGCAGCCAACATTAGAAAACACTCAAAAACATTTGCGCGTGGATCCAAAAGCGGCCGTTGGTAAACAGACCATACACCCTATTCCACGCCAAGCTTGGACGCTCGTAAGCTGCAGCCGGGTTGGATTTCAGCCTTTTGCGTTAAACTCGTGAGGACATTCTCGGACTTTGGTTTTCAGTCTCCTTTCTGGTAAACACCCTCTCAACTTCCATCACCACAGCTCAAAACTAAATACCTCCGCTCTAGGAACCACGGACATGACCCACCCCCCTCGTAGAATTACACCGGTACAGGGTAAGGGCTGCTGTGTCGGGTGAATTTTCTAGTCCGTAATCTT